TCAATAGAAAATAACAGTAGTTTTACTTTCTATTAAATCAGAGCAGGAGACTTGGGCACTATTTTCACTATGTTTTAGAATGGCCTTACTGACATTGCTACAAGCTCGCTGATGGATTTTTAATTAATAATAAAAACGCCCAGTGGGATTAAAAAAACAACAATTACTGACAATGTTTCACTAATAATGCATAGCCAAAATAACCCATGCTTACGTTCGTACGTATCTACTGCCTAATGCTCGATCAACTTGCACACATCTTAATATCCTCGTTATTAGAACTTCGGAGGATCCTGGCACAGCACGCAAGTGATAGAAACGTAAGAAAGTACAAGACTTGGGTTCTAGTCACAGCTGTGCCACTTACTATGCATGTGCTCTCGAACACGTCACCTCTGTCAGCATCGGTTAAAACAGGGCAGGCTAGGCTCGCTAATTCATAAAGCTCTTTCTGGCTTTAACATACTTTTGTCTAACAAAATATGACCAAGTGGTAGCATCAGGAGCGAGTGTCACATATTTAACACACACTCCCAAGTTCAAGACTAAAAAATCATCTCTGGAGGGTTCAAGAGCTCTTTCAGTGTAGCTTCAGTTCCCCTTCTGACTCCCTCTGAGCCCTCAAGAATGCTAGAGAACCTCACCAATCCTTGACTGTCATTCTTCACACTGTGAAATTTTACAGCTTCCAGGTTAATGGCCTGCTCTACAGAAACTGCCTGGGTTCCAACTTTCTGCACACACATGCTCATCCAAAGCGCACGATGAGCACCAGAAACGGGAAAATACAACTCTGGCCATTTCACACTTGTCATCATCAGTCAACTAATAAGAGCACTAAAAGAGGAATCATTTTTTGATGATCAGGTTATTTCATTTGCCTTTGCTTTCCCAATGCTTCATTACCTGGACAATTGAGAGTTATGGGCACTTCACCTTCCCAGTTGCCCTGTCCTTTCAGATATAATATCCCTGTCACACAAATGTTACTGGGAGTACATGCTATATTGTCACATGGCCTTTTCATCATCCACTGGTTTTATAACTGGAAAGTGAAAACGAAAAGCAATGCAGTTTATTTAAGAGGTTTTACACTTGCTAAATATACATGTGTGTCCTCTGTGATTGGATGTTGAAAATCCATTAATTTCCACACAGCCACTCCTCCCCATGACCGGCATCGATCATATGTGATGAGATAAGCCTCTTTGCTTCTGGAAGGGCGGAATCACATCTGGTTGCCTTTTCTCTGTCTTTGTCCATTTCTTCAGGTTTCTTTAAAACTAATTGGAGGAGTCAATAAATATGCCTGCCAATTCCCTTTACACCCTAGGAAGGCAGCTCACCATGCCCTTCAGACCTGTTCTTGCTGTTTTTCCAAGTATTCCCTTACCTGCCTTTGTCAATTGGCATTCTCGACAAGTTCGTCATAACTTCTCAAAGTGTCAACTTTTCCTCTTTTCATTGCCCTTGTTAAAGATAATTTAAAATTAGAAAGTCACATTCCCAGCCATTTCAGAGTCAATGCTAATGTCATTTTCTTTAGCACAGAAGTCTCTTTTCCCTCTAGAAATTCCCTGCCTTCATCCACAGCCCCTACTCCTCAGCCCCAAAACAGGCACTACTCATCTCTGCAGGCACGAGTCCATTCCCCTATTTCACCCTTCTTATCTTTCGCCCAAAATACTTCAACCAGTGAAACACACTTTAGCTTGTGGTTCTCCTTCCTTCACTCCACTTCAGAGAGAAATGTCTGGGTCTAGAGATTGTAAAGTCACCTTCAGGAAAGAGGCATCCAGTTGGCTGTCAGTTAATCAGGAAAAGACAAAAAAATTACATCACGTGCAGCTTGGCTTCTCAGTACATGCGTTTATGTTTTGGGGATCAAGAGGACTTCTCCCGTACAACCTAAAATTCATATTTATGCCTTTTGTTTGGCTATAACTAATTCCCTACCTAACTGCACAGTAGTTAATAGTCCGGAATACTTAAAACAGTGATTACGATACTTCATAGTAGAATCAAACGTCGGTTCCCTCATTTCCCCCTCATTCTGTTTCACCTCTATTTTTGCCTGGTTATCCTTGGTAGCAATCTTTGCTTATAAAAAAATGTCAGATGATTTTATATTCTATAATTTTTATTTCCATGGCTAGCTTGACATATAGGTTTTAAGCCCGTTTATTTTCCCCCATTAAGCACACACCCAAACATCACCATTCTTATCACATGCACACCCATCAAGTTTCAGAGTGTCATTTATACACAATTTTATTTCTTACTTTTTTCACACACGCCTACCACTTACGTACAGCAACTTCACTACATTCATATTTCATAAACTTCATCAGTATTCAGCCAAACCCTCCCCCAAAGAAAGCTGGGTATTTTTAACAGTGTGCTGCTTCTTTCACTGGCTTCAGGATCCTATACTAAATGGCACCCTTCCTTGCATCCTAGAAGAGTTTATCTATTATGGTCTGTGCATGGAGGCAGAAGCCTCTTAATTGTTTCAGGAAACTTTAAGATGTTCATAACCAAGCCGGGTGCAGTGGTACACACTTGTAGTCTCGGCTACTGAGAAGGCTGAGGCAGGAGGAGCCCTTCAGCCTATCTCTTCAAGAAGAAGAAGAAGAAAAAAAAAAAACTAATAAAAATATAGTTCATCATCAAAAGGAAAACACAATAACATTGTCAAGATGATTCTAGGCTGGGAGATTATCAGTAAATCCTCTATACCATAATATTTCCTACTTATTTCCACCCTCTGACTCTAGTTTCAGAGAAAACATCTGTGGTATAGAAAGTCTACCTGGGGCAGCCTGGAGTCCCCCACCACCTACAAGGGTGTGTGAAACCTGTACTCTCAGCTGTCAGTGGGCGCTGCACAGGGCTCCCCAGAGGACCACCAGGGCCCCAGCTCTGTGGACAAAACAACCAGGAAACCACAGCGCCATGTCATTATTAATGTGCCATACTATGTAATATGATAAGACAGTCTGTGATAATGACATGTCAGTGAAGGCCATAAAAATATGTTAGAAAAAAAATTGTTCTTGCACCAACACAAGCGAATTGTTACCTATAATTCCTTTCAGCATTAGCATGTAAGAGCTGGAACAAAATGCTGCCCTGCCTACACTGTGAGCTGTGGGACATTAATTCCTCATCATGCCCCATTCCTCTCTTCCAAGGATTTCTTTAGACAATCTCTTTGATGCCTTTGCTCCAAAAGCAAACGAAAAATAATAACAATTGGGCTGTCACGAAAGCACACCAAGACTCCCAAGCTGAATTTCCACCACTACAGTATCAAAGAGAATCACAAGACAACTGCAGAATATATCATGAAGTCAAGCGGGACAGTCCTGAGAAAGCCAGCTTCTGATGGTGTGGTTCCAGGGATGCTTTCCATAGTCACCCAGTGAAAGCAGCCTATGCTTGGAAAGAGGGTTTTTGGGGGGAAATCTAAATGTTCTTTATTGACATTCTTGAAATTATTCCTTCTAATCCTAGAGTTTCCTAACTTTCAGGCTTTAAGAGCCTCATGCTAAAGATATCCCTTCAATGTATCTATGGAAGAGTTAGGGCTACCTGGAGTTTCTATCTACGATTAGATGGGGGGAAACTTACATTATGTTATCATAATACAGTAAGTAACTTACTTGAAAATACAATATCCTTCCTGAATATTCAAGAATGACTTTACCGCGCGGCGTGGTGGTTCACGCCTGTAATCCTAGCACTTTAGGAGGCCGAGGCGGATGGATTGCCTGAGCTCAGGAGCTGGAAACCAGACTGGGCAACATGCTGAAACCCTGCCTCCACTAAAACACAAAAAAATTAGCTGGGTGTGGTGGTGCATGCCTGTAGTCCCAGCTGCCCGGGAGGCTGAGGCAGGAGAATTGCTTGAACCCAGGAGGCGGATGTTGCAGTGAGCGGAGATCCTGCCACTGCACTCCAGCCTGTGTGACAGAGCGAGACTCTGTCTCAAAAAAATAAAAATAAAAATAAAAAGGAATGACTTTACATCCTCTTTAACTCCAGAGAAAGAATTAAGAAGAGCCTAGGCTCTGAATGAAATTTTCCTATAAAGTAAAAATCTCAACTAGAATCAACTAATTGAATTTCTATTTTGCTACTTGCAACTTAGAGAACAGGGGAGGCAAATAACAAAACATACTGATATTGAGGATTTAACAAAAAAAGAAAGAAAGAAAACAATTTCCAGGCTGGGATCAAGACAGATTTAGTCCAATCTCTGACACTGTGTCCATTTACAGTTCTATAATGTACAATTGGAATTCATACTCAGAACGGTGACCTTGTGGCACCGTAAGATTCTCAAACCTCCAAGAAAGAATCAATTACATTCTCAATGTTCTTTCTAGAGTAGGAAAGTGGACTAGTACATTTAGAAAACTTATTCAACAAGGAAAGGACAAAAATTTTTTGGGCTAATCTACTGTTAGTCACAAAAACCAATTCATCAGTAATGTCCTCACACCCTTAGAGAAAAATCATGGTTTACTGTGTATTAATCAATGCTTGAACACTGATTATCAGGCTTTTTTTCTTTGAAGCATTAATTTTAAAATGGTACAATTTTATTTTAACATACAGTGTAAAAAGATGAGTGAAAAAATTAACAGCTCATTTCTAAATCGACACTTCCTATATGAATTAGAAAAAAAAACACACTAAAAAATGACAGAAGAGACAAGGAGAGACAGAGAGAGTATTATTCCTAAATTCTGAGCAAAAAAGACAATCTTCATATTCAGAAAAGTATTCCAAATTCTGGATGAGGATTCTCTCCAACACCTGAAGGCCTTTCAAAAATACTCTCCTTGTTCCTGCATAATGTATCACTAATCTGGAAGGAATGGGCCAGGAATCTGGGAGGGAGTATATGAAGTCTACCCCAAAGTTCCTGTGTATTGGCTTGTGGAAGACGGTTAAGTGTGAACAGCCAGATATGTCATAATAGGAGAGGTGCGTTTCCTATAATTTTTTTTATTTGTTTTTGCACACATGGGAATCACATTACAGCTCTTTCCCCAGACACCTGGGAAACGTGGATATGCATTTTGCTTCCACAGAAGTATAAGCTAAGAAGCTCAATTCATCAAGTTTCCCGGAAAGATGAAGGGGAAAGGAAGAGTAAGTTCAGAACACGTGGCATATGTTTTAAGAGACCATCCCACATGAACCTCTAATAACCTCCAACTCCATCTGTCCTTCTAACATCAAACCGCAAGCTCCTAAACGCAAACACAGGAGAAGCTGGAGGAAAAAATGTATCTTCATTCAGAAGTGACAGGTCCAAGGAAAAGAACCCATGGTTTGTCTCACTCAAATTCCAAAGATTCGTTCTGGACAGAGGGCAGTTTGCTTCCAAAAGTGATTCAGCTGTTACCAAAAATCCTCGGAACATTTTCATCTGGAGGTGAAGTATTACAATTAATGTTCTCACATTTCCCTGTGTCTTTACGAGTCTACAGTGGAACCAGGAGTGTGTGCTACAGTCCCCACTTCTGCTGCCATAAAAACAACCTGAGGGGTCTCATCGTTAGGGGCTTCCACGCAGGCTCCGTACTTCAGTTTCAGAAATAGAGGCATTCTCTAATGCCAAGGGCTCCTCACAATGCCAGTAGGTACTGGAAAATTCCTGCAGGTGACTCACATTAAAAGAGTCTCCTATAGATGTTTTGAGCCACTCAGGACTTGAATTCTAGATTAATAATTCAATTCTTTTTTAAGAAATAAGGGGGAAGCAACAGAAAAGATTATCATAACTATCATCAAATGCATTTTCTAAAATTATTCTATTACATTTTTAAAGGGTATTATTATAAATGTTTTTATGAGCAATTTACCGGAAAATTAAAGTCCTTTAGTTTAAAAAAATAATTATGTTATCCCTCTGGCAAAGGATTTTCTCCCAGCCAGTAGCTCTTTCAAACTATGGGGCATCATTTGCTCACTGTGGCAAGCCGGGTCCACGCGCGGAAAGTTGATCTGAGAATCAATCTTTAGCAAGGGCGCTAAATTGCTAGGTAAGAGCACCTACTAGAAAGTGAATCAGCCAAAACCGAAGGGGGCAAGAGAGGCCACGCACTTTCAAAGTCAAAGACTTACGTGGTTCCAGAAGTCCTCAGGGCTACACATAAGCTACAGGCCCTGTTAAGGGATTTTAAGTCCATCTAAGCTGAGCTTCCAGGGTGTTCGATCTCAACCCAACTGAGCTTTTCACTGTTAATCCATCTTTCAGTTTCGATTTTTCCCTTAGGTCTGCCGGCCCTAAAAGCCTTCAACCTTCAGCACTGGTGTTCCAAACCAACCGCGTGGTCCACAGCCATGTGTGGATAGCTAAAGTAAAATATGTAAGCTGCCAGCATGCACATATAATAACGAGACTCTGAAAAAGGGTTTTTAACAACAGTTATGTCACAACGCTCATGGCTCCCTGAAGTCCCTGAAAGCCTCGTTAAATTAAAGATTCGCTGTGGTTTTTTTCCGCTTCGTTCCTACTTCCCATGTTGCTTCCTGCCTTTCTTTTTTCTCTTTCATTGTGTTGGAAAGATGGAACTGAATGACACAGGCCATCATGAATATCACCTAGAAAATGGAAGAGCTTCGTTAAAACTGCTAACATTCCCAGCACAGTTTTATGGACAGAGGAAGGTCGCCTTTCAGATTATAAAGTCACACATCTGATTCTGTAAGCTCAGGCAATAAAGGTACACACTGCATTCACACTTGGATTCCCAAGAGTGAGGAATTCAACAGTAGCCTCAAGTCTACCTAGGTAGTGTCTCATGAGGTCACTGCAATGTCATGATAATCCAGACCACAGTTTCTGTGGACTTCAAACACCGACTGGCTAGAAGCTAAACCTGTTACCTTTTGGAAAGCATCTCCCAAATCAGAAGGCTTCCCATTTCACCCAATGCCAAGAACTCCACTCCACCCTCCTGGAGGTTGAAAATGCTAATTATAAGGTGATGATGTTTGCTTTTCCTTTCTAGTCGTGTGCCTTTATGTTTTAAGTATTTAAAAGGCGTAATCACCTAGTGTGTAGGTTAATTTCTTTCCGATATTGTAATTTATGCAACATTAATACTGGATGCCAGCTCCAATTTTCTTACTGCTTACACTCTGGGAGCCGACTTGCATATTCTGCCAACTCCATTACATCATCTGAAAACCCAAACATTTCCCATTTTCAAATCACTCTCAACTACCAGGCATACTTACACATTCTCTCTTTTTCTCCCTAGCTCACACACACAAAGATTGGTACCCCTGAGGAGCAGATGCTGCATCTGAGGTTAAAGTCTGCAAATGCACATAATTTCTGGAAGCTATTACTACTGCTGTGTTAGCTAAAGGATGCCTCCATCTCTGACCTTCCTTTTTCCATTCAGACTGTTATATAACCCAGTGCCTGCGTGCAGAATGTGAGTTGAGTGTTTGGGCCTTGCCACCCCCCTCCCATTAAATCTTCTAGGAGGGACAGACAGGGCTGGTTCAAAAAATGAGTTGGGGAGGCACAGGGTAGGGGTGAAGGGGATATGGGTCAGCAGGTCAGCTGTGCAAGATGTATCCCACTCCTACTATGCCCCTCTCCCTTTTTGCTGAGCCTAGGGGGCTGGTGGCACTGAATGCCCCAGCGTTACATAATTTGCAAGAACAGCAAGTTACGGATTTGCTAGTCGGTTCTGCAGCCTGCCACCCTGATCGCTTGCAAGAACACCTTCTGGCAAGAATGACACCTGAAGATGTTAATAACACACTGGGTGGGCGGTGGGGGTCAAAAAGGAGAAGGGTGGCAGCACAAACCAAAAATTAGTGCGGCTTCCTAAATACTATGTCCCCATCATTCCAAAAAAAAGCCCCAGAAACACATGAAGGGGATTTTCTCCAGTGTTTCTGATTAACCCTGTTACATAACCCGCTCGCATTCCAAATCCACCGTCTCAGGGTCTAAATATACTCTTTGCAGCCAAAAGCTCCCCGCACACAAACTCACCGAGCTTAGCGGCAGGTCCGGACCCCCAGCCCTCATCCCCTTCCCTCTCGTCCCAGCCCTCGCTGCCCCCCTCCCGCTGAAACGGCAGTTCGGCATGGTTACTCTTTGGAAATCGCCTTTAATTAAATGTTTTTCGCGTGTGTCATCCTGATGGCTTTTACTGTACTCGAATTCCGTGAATGGGAAAGCGCCTGGACAGGGGGTGTGGCTAAGGTGGGGGGGGAATACTGTAAAACAGCCAGCACATGATCAGCCATATTCCTACCTCCAACTATAACATCGAAAGGAAGGCAGCAGCTCCCGGGGCCCCCATTCGCCTCTACCCAGCCCTCCCCAACCCCTGCCGAAGCCGATTGCAAGAGGAGGGGGCGCGCTGGGCCGGTGCCCAAGCCGGGGCTAGAGAAAACCTCTCCGTCCCCAGCTCGCGCGAGCCCGCTTCCTCCAGAGTGACAGGCGTGATTTATACATTATTTACAACAGTAATTAAAGCTGTAGCTTCCTCCTGTTCTTTGCAAACTCCAGGCGCATTCAAATAAATAATCCCCTACTCCCAAGAAAAACCCACATTAGGTTCCAATACCTTTAAAAAAGAGTGAGCTTTCCTCAACAGCTTACTTTAGGAAAGGAGGGAGCAACTGAGCCCCCCCATCCCCCCCACCCCACACGCACACACAGACCAAACACCAAAATGAAGAGTAAAAATCGCCAGGGGAGGAGGAAACATCCCTTGCACTGTCCAACCAGCATGCAACCAGCACTGACCATCCCCAGGTTCCTGCAGAAATGCTTGGAACCTCCGAGAGGGAAGGATTCCCAGAGCAGAAATAAGTTTGGGTGCTTGCTTTTGTAGACGCTCCCTCCGAATGCGCGTGGAGCGCCCCACAGGACCGCCGCCCTCGGCGTGCTGGCGCGCACACGCCCCCAGCCAGCCTGGGAGCTGGGCTCCGAACCCCCGGTCTGCAAACTTGTGCATCTCCCCTCACCGCATCTCCCCTCACCGCGCCCGCCAGACAACTTGGCCAGCAGCTCCAGCGCCCGCACCCCCCTTCCTCCAGCCCTTCCTTCAAATCTCAAACGCACCGCTGTGCTCCAGAGAAGGTGTCCACACCGCCCCAGACCCCGGAGCGCCCCCTCTCCACCCCCTGGATTTCCCAGGTCGCTCACTCTTCCCGCCCCCCGCCCAGACCTGAGAGGGACCGAACACACACCCCTCGGGCAGCCGGGGCCGAAACTGTCAAAAGGAGAAAAGGTAACGCAGGAGGAGGGTGGCCATAACAGATTTTTTTTTTGGCCCCTTCTTAAAAGGACACTGCCGCTTTAAAAGTTTCTTTCCCGGGCCCCCATTCCCCGCTTCTCCGTATTTTGGGGGAGCGTATTTAATTAAGGCAACGCAGCTTTCCTCCTGTGTTTGCAGAAAAATCAAAGCCGGGGGTGGGGGCGGTGAGCCGGCCGGCTGTCAACCTTCCCGCCGCCTCCCCCGCCCCCCTCTGCTCCCGCAAGCCGAGAACGGGCTGCAAAAGTTTGCAACATTTCTGGGGGGCGGGGGGGGGAGGGGTGGGGGATCCTCCGGGCTCGGGGCGCCGCCGCAGGCTCGCGCGCGGCCGCCGGACCCCGCGTCCCGGGCGCCCGCTCCCGGCCGCCCCCCGCTCCGCGCCCGGGCTCCCGCCGCCCCCTCCCCAGCCCCTCTCCAGCCTCCTACCTCTGCTGGTGCTGGAATAGCTCTGTCTGCGCACCGGGGCTGGCGGCTCGCTCTTGCGGGCGGATTCCTGGTTCAGCGGGGTCTCCCTGGAGCCGGCGGCCGCGTCCGCGCCGCTGCTGCCTGGCTCGCTGGCGGCGGGGTCGGGGGCTGCCGGAGCTGACTCCATGTTTTTTCCCAATGTAGAGATCGCTGGAGATGGCGAGCTCCGAGACTCCCTCTATCTTCTGTTTTCAGAGCAACTCTATGGTACCAAAAAAAAAAAAAAAAAAAAAAAAAAAAGGAGAAGGCGACCGGCGAGAGCAGGAGGGAGAGAGCAGGCGGCGGCGGCGGGCGGGCGAGCGAGAGCGCGAGGGAGCGCGCGGAGTGTGTCTGGATGGACGTGTGTGTGCGCCCGAGAGGGGACAGAAGGCGGGTCTGGCCACAGTGAGCGCTAGCGAGAGCTTCTCCAGCCGGCCCCCACACCCACATTCCCCACCCTCCAGACCCCAGACCGAGAGCCACAGACTGGCTGCCAATTTTGGGAGGTGGGGAAAAGAAGGGAGGAGGAGAGCAGAGCCTCCCGCGCCCCAATCCTCCCCTCTCCCCAGCCCAGGGACAGAAATTAAAGTCAGTGAGATGATTCTGTGCCTACTTCTGAGACTCTCTTAGGAACAGAACTCGTCCCCATCCGCTGCCAGCCTGGGAAGAGACAAATCCGATTGTCCACGTTGGGAAATCGCAGGTAGCCCCGAGTCAGCCCTGCCCAGGGCTGAGGAGAAACTAAAAAGGGATTAGAACGGGGCTGACACCCCAAGGAAGGCGGAGGATGGGAGGACGTGGCACTTTTTACTTTGGGATGGGACAGCCAGTGGGTTTCCAATCTTGGTTAGTTGCGTCTGTGTCTAAAACAGATTTTGTGAGTCTAGAATCGCCATAGACAGTTTCTGGTATGGTTGAAAAAGGTCGCTTTCAGCTCCTTTGCTGTTTGTCCGCGAAGGATCCAGAAACCATTTGGCAGGGGACTTTCTACTGAAGAAAACTTTGGCCTGTTTGGTCGATGACTATCTAAGCTGGATGAAATATGCCACGCTGCATCTAGCTCAAGCGTGGCTGCTAATTGTCAATTCCCACTGGTACTTTTCCTATTAAATGTACTGTCTCATCCATAAAAGGTAGATATACTTGAAAGGCATTACTAATGCCCAGATAACATTCAGATAATTAAGAACTCCTAATAATTCACATTATTGTAGGCATCATTCTACACCCTCCTGCCATTGAAATACACTCATCCCCTAGTAAGTACTTAAAACTCCAGGAAAGCAGAGAATTGCATCATTGTTACCTTGACCCCAAACTCCGGTATGAAGGAATAATACAAATTGAAAGAATGGGAAATATTCCAATGGTAGTAGTTTGATTTCTCTGCCTTCGTAATCAATCTACCACTTCCTTCTGCATGCGAAGACACTGTGGAAATCAGTCCATGTTTAACATACACCCCACCTTCCTTTCTAAAAGCTCCAAAATTTTGACAATAAATAATGTTATTACAGACCAGAAGGTGGCATAAATATATGCATTTAAGAGCGTTGGGTAGGCTGCGGGAATTGGGGGACATTTTTCTTTTGCTAACTTCCTGGTTTGGAAAAATGCTTTAAAAAAATAAGGGGAAAAAACTCAGATAATCGCTTAAGGGGAACCTCCATATGCCAAATTTCACACGTGGTTTCTGTTGCTGTTACTGATCTTGATCTTACTTCAAATACACAATGCCCTTTTGCCATGATCTGTGTGTTAATCAGCAAAACCTGTGGTCCACTCTTCAGGGTGATGTAAATGAAATGTGAATAGTCCTGATACCTTAATCCCGTCTCTGCAAGGATCCCTGACTTTAGCCTGTCTGTTGGCGCCTACAAACAATGCACAATTGTCTCCACCATCCCAAATCAGATGTGTGGGTTTCCCCATACATCAAAGCAGATTTCCAGAGCGGCCTTCACATCATTTACCATTGGTTAGCCTGTTAGTAATGTTCTTGGTGCAATTGACCTAGCTTGTCACACTTGACTTTTCTAAGGAAACAAATATATCAAAGTGTACGGTTTAAGAAACAACTTCCTCTGGACAGTGAGCATCTGTTGCCTTACCTTTTAGAATACTTTCTAAATACTTGTCATATTACATGTCACAATATTTCTATTTGGGATGCAAGTGACTTAAAAAGTATCCCTGGTTTTCTTTTAGGTACCAGTAGCAACTTGTTAACATTTTTGGTTAAGTCTGTTCCCCTTGGACCTTTAATGAGTTTCTTACTGTGCTCCTTCAACTAAGGTGATATTTAGTCACCCAGAAAAGACCATCTCTAGAAAATGGTCTTAATGACCCGAATCAATTAAAATAGACCCTATATTCCCTTCAGAGAAAGATCCCAGCTCCTAAAAGCCACTTTTCATAACTCCCTAAGACAGTTAATGCTTCTGCAATTTAAAACAATTGGGAACTCAAGTGCTTTCCCCAAGGGAAAAAATAAAAGTGAGTTAGATACATTCCTTGACTGTCAATCACTGTTACTAAAGTGCAAATTACCTGGACTGGGGAAGCATTTGAAACCTGAAAAGCACAGTGATTAGGTTTATATTTCTTTCCTTCCCTCCTGCTCCCTTCCAGATTGCTAATTAAGGCTTTCCAATTTTCCAAATATTTGGAGAGATGGGAGCCTTTCTTAGATTCTGCTCATTGACAAAGGGCAACAGTGTTTGCTTAAAAATGGTTATTTTACTTTGCACCACTGAGTTCTCTGCAAAAGACTTAGAAAAGCTATGTTTGTGGGACAGATCAGCATAAATTCAGTTTTGTTTTGTTTGTTTTGTTTTGCAACTCCTCTTTGCAACACGATGAGGATCCCCCCTACCTCCTTGCCAATCCAGGGCTTCTCTCTTGATGGTACATTACTTTTCTCCTACTCTAAGGTAATTACTGGGAACCTCAAAGTTAACTTTGACCCCTCTCTTTTGCTCCTGCCCATAGCTCTCCACATCCTAACACACTTGCCAAATGCTGTAAATTCTACCTACATGACATATGCCCCTGCTTTCCACAGCCATCCATGCAGTTCCAGACATTATTGCTCACCTAAACCATCTCAGCAACCTCTTAAATATCTGGCCTTCGGTCTTATAACCACGCTAATCCATTCCAGATAGTACTGCCAAGTTAATTACCCTGAACTATAGCTCTCATTTCCCACCATGTCACTCCCCTACTTACAAGACTTTAATGGCTCCCCATTGCCCATGCAATTAACAACTAACTAGTCAATTCAGTTATTGAAGGTTGTACCTCCCTATCATTGCACTCCTGTGCCAAGGATGGCAAGTCGATCTTGTCATGTGGAAAGGTGTGGGCTGTGATTGATTTATGCTATCTCCCATGGGTGGAGGATAGGGAGTGTGACACGCCTGGCAGGAGTTTGTCAAACTGCCTTACATCTTTATGTAATCTGAGTATGTGCAGTATTAAGGCCAGGCCACACGCTGCTGCCTGATCCCCTTCCTCCTTCTGGTCCATGATACATATATAGTTGCCTCTGCCTCCCTAAAGGCCCTTCCTGCCTTCTCAATTTACTGAAATCTACCTTCCTTTCAAAGTTTATTCTAAATGACAACTCCTCTGTGGAGCCTTCCCTGATTTACCCCAAACCAAAATATTTGAAGTGTCTTAGTGCTTTACATCACTCCTAAGGCATTTGGTATGCTCCATCTACCATGTATTGGGGTTGTTTGAACCTTTGCTTTATCTTCCCTGGCGGGAGACATACTCCTTAAAAACAAGGACCGTGCCTTTGCACAGAGTAGGCATTCATTAGACTTAGTGGATTTGAGGAATGCAGTTGATGAAGTAATCATAAAGTAGCATGTCCACACGGTGATTCCATTACACAACGAGAATGAAAACCTATGCATTTCAACTTTCAATCACTTGAAATAAGCCTTTCCTTCTTGGATAAAAGATTCATTGGCATGTATGTGCTGTTAAAATTTATATATGCAAAAAAAAACGTTGACAGTTATTTTCTTGCATTTCTTGACAGGGAGAGAAGGGAAATGATGGAAATATATAGTAGAATTTCCTTGGGAGTATGGAGCTTTCTACAACATGCACAAGAACAAAGAAGACAGAAAATTAAAACTGAGTGCCCAAACAAGTTCGCTTTCTTTCAAGAAAGCATCCAGAAGCTGAAGCTGGGCCATGTGCTGAAAATAAAAGAAACACAAGTGAAAATGCAGCACGGCTCTTGGGCATGGGAGGAGCTCCATCTCGCTGCCTGTCATCAAGGTGTCCCCAGCTGGTAAAGTCCAGGGCAAGAAGGAGCCAGAGAATCAATGGTGTAAACCTGAAGTCCTCCTGAGGGGTAACAGGTGAGCCAGACTTGCCAGACACTAGGAAATTAAGATGGAGACTGAAACACGCAGTGTCCACCCTGAATGATCCACTCCACCCGTGCCCATTTTATAGGTGAGGAAATGAAAATGCAGAGAAGAAAAGTGACTTCCTCAAGGCCACACAACTAATCAGTGGCAAGATGTGACAGCTTCAAACTGCCTGAATTCATCATCCAACTCTGCCACGTGCTGGCAATGTGGCGAAAGGAAAGACAGTACCATTTCTATGCCTACATTTCCTCATCCATAGAGGAACATTGTTGGGGTTAGATGAGATGATCCTTCTGAAATGTTGGCACTCAAAATTCTGCTATTATCATTATGCATCTTGCAAGATGTTATAAAATTCTGTATAGAACAGCCCTGTCCAATGCTAGTCATTAGCCAAATGTGTCTATTGAGTCCTTAAAAGGTGGTGAGTTCAAATTGAGATGTGCGATAATTGTTAAAATCCACACTGAATTTCAAAGACTTGG